TTTTTTTCTTTTATATAACTGTTCAATGTTTCTTCTTTCCTTATCGAGCCTTTTGCACTCAATCAATTATGTTATTTTGCTACTCAAGTCTTCTGCTCTTACTTTCTTTGCCATACAAACATTCGATTTTTGGTTAGGCTCAAACTATATTTTGTAGAAGTTTTGCAATTGCTGTTGCAAATATCTTGAATTTCAGTATTTTCACAATAATGTCAATATAATAACATTAGTCGTGAACATATGCGAGCTCAGTCATCTTAAAATCTTATCTAAAGTTCAGTCTTCTAGAATAGCTTTTTCTAATCTTTTTGGCTGATTGACTACAATCCTTTCTGTTCTCATTCAAGTTCCTGTTTTTCAGAGCTGACACACTCACGACGGTCGATGAGAAACATGTAGTTATTAAACACTACCTTTTTATCTTTGTTTGAACAAGGTTCTCTCTTCTTTCCCGTCCAACTTGAATGATCTGTTAGTGGGTGTCGCGCGCTATTGTTCTTCTAATTTTGTTCGCAATGATTTTTGAAGCCGGTGATTAAGAGACTGAGTTATATTGCGAGTTCCTTTTTTGCTTTGTTTGAGTGTCATGGGATTAGACTGGCGCGGCCAGATTGTTATTGTTCATTCTGCCCGCATTTTTGTTGTGCTGGGCTTTTACATGGAATTGCTAGCATTTCTCGTAACCTTAGAATATATAGGGAGAAGGTTTTCTATTAGAATTTACCACATATATGCTCTAAAACTCTTCTTATCCAGTTTATACCGTTGATTTTCGTCGATTCGAGAAAATGTCCGTGATCTCGTATTAATCGAAAGATTGTGATGAGATTTTTGCAGAGATCTCCACCAAAAAGTTTTCCGGCAAATCCTGGCTCCAATTAGCCGCCGCAGTTACGACCCGATCGAGATTTGGTCTTGCGCCACAGGGCGCGAATTGCAACTCGATACTGCAACCGTGGAGGCGTCATCGTTCACTATGCGAATAGGTGATCTGAAACGAGCCGTTGAAGATGTGATACTCAGGCCTGATCAGAATACATTGAACGACATCGATAAACGCGATACAATAGCTGCATTGGATTTATGCCAGGTTAGATAGCCTTTTTGTGAGATTAACCTGAGCTCTTCTAGCTTTGCTCTTTTTTTAGCCAGAACCATCGCCACCACTGCCAACATGTACACCATCTGCTGCATCAATGAACGCCTGTTCATGTTCCAGTGAAACTGTGCCAGTGGATGTACCACGTCCACCGCCTCCACTTTGCACAAGCACAAGCCTTGATACTATAGTGAGCATTTAGTTTTATGAAGTTTGCTAGCGATTTTAGTTCTACGAAACGATGGGTAACGATAAAACATGATTCCTCGGCTGATTATTACTCACATCGGGTTATTTGAGGGAGTAAGAGAAGCTTATAATTGTAGGCGCAAAGTTAATGAGAGCTGTTAGAAATAGTAGGCTAAAGTCATCGTGTAAAATTATCCATTTCGTAGATTTAGCAACTTGACTAATACTATTTAAGTATAAACATGGGGTAAGTAGTTTTTTGGAAGCTGATGTACTACATGCACTTTTCGTCAAGCTATTTGACATTTATTTATTGATTTTCTTTTAGGCTAAAGTTGCTCAAAGTTTCAGTATAAAACGAGTTTTTTTGTCTGATTTTAGTGGCTTCCTGCTGTTCACAATTTTCCATACTAACCATCTAATTATTTTACAAAAATTTTTTCTTTTTTTGTTTTGTTAAGCTCTATAAATTAAGCTC